TTAGATAACTGATTTGGCAAAGTAAAAGATGTCCTTATTTTTTTGGTACATAGTTATAACCTGTATTTAATTTTCACCCTGAAATTAGGGTGTTGCGTTTCTATTGACGGTGAGTATATATACTTTGTGAATATATCATGATAAAAAGTACTCAGAGAATACAAAAACAATTTTAATTGTACATATGCCAAAATTGTTAATATTAAAAACGTTGTGTCATTTTTATTAAAAGACAGAAGTGTAAGAACTCTAGAAAATCTTAAATGTGATTTTTATTATTCAATTTTGGTAAGCATTAAATTTTAAAAATCATTTATGAAAAGATGTGGCAAAAGACTTTCGATCTTAGTGACAAATATGTCCGAAAAAATGTATATCTAGCTAAAGTTAAGTATATGTATGAAAATAAATGTTGCTGAATTCAATTATTAATTACTGAATTGCATATTGAATAATAATCTAAATGTTGGTAAATGGAACAAAGATGTAGAACCGTTTTGTGAATATTGTATGGTTGTTGAAAACAATGAACATCTCTTATACAAATGTAAACTCTGTGAAAATATATGGAAAAAATTAATTAAGTTTTGGGTTTTGAAATCAAATGGAAAATACTTGTACTAAGTTTTTAAAATGAAATCAATTCAAAAACAGCGAGATTGAATAATCTATTGTCATTTATATGTTTTAACATCTGTAAATATAAAATGAAATGAAGATTTGGAAAAAAAATGTAAAACATGCATAAAGAAGTCTTTTGAAATAAAATAAAAAATTGTCTTTGTCCACAAAACGTAATTCTATGGAACACACATGTAATGATAATTTATATCTAGAGGTATCCAATTACTTTTGATTTTGAAATTGATATGCAAAGTATGTATTATGCTTTTGTGTAGAAAGAATTATTTATGTATCATGTTTTAATAAAGAAGAATTTCCTAGCAAAGGAAAGCATTGACTACATGTACTTGTGCAGATTATTTTTCATTTCATTGACATATCTGAAAACCTAAAATTTTTCTAATTGTGTTAAACGTTTTTGATTATCATTATCGTTTGGTAATAGTTAAACATTAGTGTATATTTCTAATTAGAAAGTGCGTGAAGCATCATTTATATCAGCATAAATTTGAAACAATTGAATATTTTTAAATGCCTCTAGATAATCAATTCCGGAAAAGTCGTACCTAGCAAACATTGAGAAGTTTAAATCAAGGGTGGAGACATTTAAGGTTTTTTCAACCTCATAATTCTAATGGTTCAAAGTACAAAAACTGCATTTATTTTAATCTAATATAGTTCAAATTTACCTATTATTGCAAACCATGTATAGGTCACAATGTTATTTAATATGGGAAACGAAGATGAACAGAAGTATTTGTCAACATAACAATTGTGTATATTTTTTCAAATATTTTATGAACAAACTGGTTCAAATGCACAATTCTTATGCTAAAAGTTCTGATATTTTTGCTACTTCTAAAATAATTTTGAATTGTGAATCCCAGGGAAACTTTTTTACATAAAAAATTCAATAAAGAAAATGCCCGATTAAGATTAAGAAACCTGAGAAGGAGTTATTGCCCTTGTCAACATTTTTAAAGGTTCTATTATTGACTAAAAAAAGAAAATTAACATTTTTAAAATCCCATTCTTCTGATTTTCTTTGGGGTATCCATCTCTTATCTGCAACTCCTCCCATACAACTGAATGAAATTTTATGAGACTTAAACATAATCTGCATTATATATTGTCATTTTGCACTTCCTATTTTAATTTTTTATCCAACATATATTTTGTGTTCCCATAGCAAAACATGGACACCTTCATCAATTTCATATAGGAGGCGGGAGGTGTCATTGTTTTTCTCTTCTGTTTGTTAAGTGCTTATGAAAATATTATACATGTGTTGAATGTCACGAATTGCTGTTGAATGATTATTAAGTGATCCAAACGGCACTCTTCTCTTATGATCTCTGATTGTTATAGCAAAGAAGCATATTTTCATGTCAACACCTACTGCGACAGAGGACATCAGTTTGGATGGGTGGTCTTCACCAGAAAAAAAGCATACATTTAAGAATATAAATGTTAATCTTCAAAACACAATTAATTCTCACTGATTCAAATATGTTTTTTTATAATAATTCTCCGTATTCTCGGTATGTCCAATAAAAAAATATAATAAAATATATTTGTCTCTTTAGAAATAATTATGCTTTATTGTATTGGTCACTTTGTCTTTATTTGTTTTTAACTACGTGAACTAAATTCACTGAATTTAATTAAAAAATTGAAAATTTGCAGATGTTTGTAAATGTACTGTATTATAGACCATGTCGAATAGCACGGCCAATGTTGGTTCCTAAAAGAAAAGTAATTAAGTAAACATTGTCCTGATTTTTCATTACACATCAAAGCAGTGCACTGCACCATAAGTCTAAAAGAATTTCCAAAAAAAAAAAAAAAAAAAAAAAACCACGAGTAAAGTCTTCATCTTTCTTCCTCTCTTTCATTTGTCATACTTAAAGTTGTTTCATCACTGATGACGTAATAAGTAATGGACGATAATTCACATCACTAAATATTATTCATGGACCAAGAAAATTTTCATGGCGCAGCAGAAGTCACGAAAACCCATATTTAAAAAAAATACTATGGATAACTATAAATTACTATAGTTAATTATAGTTTACTTTGGTTAACCATAGTTACAAAAGTGATGATTCTATCGCTATGAAAACTTTGATTTACTATAGTGATAACTTTCATACTTTGATTTATTTAAGTAATAACTATGAAAAATGAATTTACTATGGTAAAAACTTTGATTTACTGTACAAACATAGACCAAAAACATAACAAAGTATAGTTTGTTGTTGCAATGGTTTATTTTATATGGTTTTGAAAAGATTAGAAATTAAATTAGCAGGTACTGATCTTTCAATTGGTTATATAATTAAGTTTCAATTAAAAATTCTGTCGAGGATCAGAGCATACACAAACTATATATCATATTATTGGTGGGATCAGGTCCCATGAAGGAGGTACCAACCCCTGCCAGCCGGTCATATCAACACTATGCTCTTTGTCTTGACCCATCCCCCCCCCGGGAAAATCTGTAGATGATTCCGTAAATAGTAGTCTTAAAATTAATATGAAAAACGTCCCTCGGAATTTGTGATTTAGTGATTCCTTGTGAATACTGACACCTTGTTAACACTGACCTTCAGTGTTTTTATCATAAAATTAAAGTTCGTTAGCATTTCAAATATTCCCTTAACAGTTCAATGACCTCAGCAAATACAATCTATCATTAAAGACAGATTTTAGAAACAAAAAAAAAATAGATGCCTGGATTGGTATATATTTCTGGCTCTATTTTTGTCGCAAATAATGCAACTTATAAATTTTCAAAATATAAAGAATTTGTAAACCTTCTATGATGTTCAAAATTCTGCTTAATGTAGCCATCCTTATAAATCTATACAATTATTAATACAATATTATTAATTGTTAATACAATACAATATTAAACGATTGACGAGGGATTTTTTCAGTCATTTCCTGATCATGACAAGGAGCACACAGCGGGTGTGACTGGTCAGCAGGGGAAGCTCACTCCTCCATGGCACCTGATCGCACCTCTGATGTTTCGGGGGGCCCTGTTTGCTCTGCTCTTATTTAATATTGTTTTATGGACTTTGAGGTTTAATACTGTTTGTTAGCTCCATATCCTTCTTTCTATACAAATATTTTTCACTTCAAATTCCATTTTTGTGAAAGTTTGAATGAAAAAATAAAAACTACGCGGTTAAACTTGTTCATTTTACTCACTGAAATATGACTCGGGTTGTTATTTTCAATTTTAAGACAAAAGTTTGTTTGTATCATCTGTCCTTAAATCAAATATTGACTGGCAAATTTCATACTAATTGTTAGCCTATTATTCACAAACTGAATTGTTTACGTATTTCCTGATCATAACAAGGAGCATATACACGGTGAATTTGACCGGTCGGCTGGGGATGCTCACTCCTCCACAACACCTGAAAGGTTCGCTTTTGCTCTGTTCCTGATTTATTATGTTGAATGAACTTGAATATGTTTGTTATCTCCAGACTTCTCCAGACTTATCTCGGTGAGACGGACTTGTCCTCAAGTGATAAAAAATAATAATAATAATGTAGAGTTATGATTTATTTGTCTCACATGAATTGAGATCTGTTATAGCACTAGGTCTGTGAGTTTGTAGGATAGGGGAGAGGTCAAATTCTACATGAGCGCTTTTGGTGTTTGGAATTAAGTAGTGTAGAAGTTAAAATGTTTATAGTAGCCATAGGATACATGCCTTTTTATTTAATATTATGTATGCTGGTATTAAATTAATAATTGACAAATTACCATTCCTTCTGGGAAAAAAATATCCTGAATTGTTAGTCACTAAATCAAGAGTCAATTTGACGTACATTTATCGTACATTCCAACAGAAAAAAGAATAGAAGAGAAAACAGATATTGTATTTCGGATGTGGAATTAAGTGAAGACGTCTATTGAAACTCTATCTTTTCTGTTAATATGACATACAGTATATCAAGGTAAAGACAAGTCCTTTGAATGAGACAGTGAATACCATATATATCGAATATCTCAATGAAACATCCTATATCTCAATCATAGATCCAAGATCTAAACGATAGATCCAATATCTAAATGATAGGTCCAATATCTGAATGAAAGATCCAATATCCAAAAAATAACTAAATCAGACACTTCTTTGCATATTTCATTTCTTGTCATATTTTTATCAGATTGTAAAATATTCTACAAGATGGCTCTAGTAATTTTTGTCAGAGCCATTCCCGGTTTCCACTTCCCTATATTCCACTTAATGTGTAAAGTACAACATTCCTTAATAAAAGTTCAATAAAATTAATCATATTTCTATTTTAAAATAAATTTGATGTGGAAATACAAGCAACATGAACAATATACACCAAAGCTTTTTTTGTTTTATTCAGAAAATGTGAAACACACTTCCTTGTAAAAAGGCAAAATTAAACTCATTGAAATGTATTGTAAGAAGTTTTTAAAGAAATTTCTATAGCATGCACTCCAAAATTACGATATGACAGGCATACACATATTTCTATATATATTTTCAACCTCAATATTTCTAATAGGGTTTTGATCAGCTAATATATAAATATATAATGTTACAAACACATACTTATTTTACATTTTCATCAAGCTATCAGTCTGGATAATCTGATATCCTTTAAATATATATAAATTAAAAATGCCTACATATGAAGAAACCTTACCAAAAATAGATGTAACAGAAAAGCAAAACAAAAGGTAACCATCGTACCTTACGAAAATACCATATATTTAACATCCTCTCTCTCCTAATTATTAGGTTACATTTGTGCTAACTGGTACTTAGAACGCAAGATAGAAAATAATAAGAGCTTTCAGACAAAGTATTAAGAAATAGCCCTGGGAGTAGATCGAAGGCTTGTGGCCTGCAGAGTTCGCCAGTAATTCACGAGGAACACATGTTTCTGAATCGTCCGCTGTCAAAAGAAAATCGTTATTTAGAATAACACTTTCCCAGACGTTTATTTTTTCTTATACAATTTCTTATACATATTTCGTTTGTACCATACATAACAGAATAATACAATATCCCTCAGGAAAATGTTAACAAGTTAATTCAAAATATTCTCTGATAAATACTTGATGACATTGATAATTTTTTCTCCAAAATTTATCTTTTAAAAGCTTCAATGTTACACGTTAGTCTTAAGTTCATTGATGCTTTCCAGAGTTGCATAATCAATGTAGAACATAGTGATATTTAAATTAAAAATGCATGGACACAGTTTCAGGTAAAATTTTAAAATTCATTTTACCATTCTCACACATATTCAACTAGAATTTTTCTAATGATCATCAAAAATTTGAACGTCAGTTGTCGAGATACAAGACAGATTTATAGCTCAAAATCTTTGTTATGTAAACAATGTCCGTGTCATGTTTTTGTTTACCTAGGTTAATATACCAATATATGTTCGTTCAAAGTAGATAATTTCAACATGTTCAATAAAAAAGTTGATTTTAAATACAATACGCCAGTTTCTATTGATTTGCTGAATTTCATTTTATTATAAATTTGATATTTTCTATATGTGAACAAAAACAAGGCACATGCCTTGTATACATTATAAAGAACTTTAAGTTTTGTATCCCGTTTGTTGATCAACAAATAATGATCAAATTTTTGCTAATCATTAGATGATGCCTTAAGTAGGAATTGTAAACATTAAAATTGGTTTAAAAATACAGTTTAAACACTATTCAAAATCAAAAGTCCATAAAACAATACAAAACAGGAGCAGAGGAAACACGGACCTCCAAAACATGAAGGAGTGAGCATCCCCTGCTGACAGGTCACACCCGCTACTTGTCGTGATCGGGAAATAACGGAAAAACCCGTCGTCAATTCAGTGTATAAATAATGGACTAACAACTAGTTTAAAAAACATCAGTCAGCATTTGACTGAATGATAAATTCTTAAAGTCTTACCGCCGTATCTTTGGGTTATTTTTTCACAGTCGTCGTTGTATTTTCCAGACGTATAATATTTCTGGAAGGCGGGATTCCACCACAAAGGGAGGTCACTCTCCTTCTTAACCATCATTCCCACACCACTGACGTCACATTTATACCTCCCTGGGAGAACCTCCAAGTCGTCAAAACGAGTCCGCGGGGAAAACAGCGCATCTGCCTTAACACAAACCATGTTGTCTGATTACTGATATGAGTTATTTGTATGTAACAATTAAAAACCAATTGACATTTCAACACAATTTAGATGTTCATGTCAATCAGAAAGGTTTTTGGAGCAATGTTTTCAATTTATCCTTCCTTGTCTGCTGGCCCCATGGGGATCCGGGTTAGAATAGGTCCTCAGTACCCCCTTGCTTGTCGTAAAAGGCGATTAAATGGGGCTGTCCTTCGGATGAGACCGTATAAACCGAGGCCCCGTGTCACAGCAGGTGTGGCACGATAAAGATCCCTCCCTGCTCAATGGCCGTAAGTGCCGAGCATAGGCCTAAATTTGCAGCCGTTCACCGGCAATGGTGACGTCTCTATATCAGTGAAATATTCTGGAAAGGGACGTTAAACAGTATACAATCAATCAATCAATCCTTGTCTGCTGTCTCAATGGGCTCCTTTTGAGATTGAGGTTCTGAGATGATACTCTATATACTCAGACATTAGATTTTCCCAAAACTTGGCATGCACTAAAGTCAATGCATGTTACTTAAAAAAGGAGTGACTTTCACACAATGAAAGATCAATAGGCTCCCTTTAATCAATGTCTCTGGATTAATAATTAATCAATCCACCTCATAAATGAAACCGCATTAAGAATTTTAATTTTCATCTTTGTTATATTCCCAAAATCAACAATGGTTGTTTTGCTAATTTCATTTTAAGGGACCAGGCAAAATTTATCACAATGATGGGACCAGTACAAAACAAAATTCTCATTTTTAAAAAGTATGTGTCCCATGGCACATTATTTGAAAAAAAATATCCGTCCCATGCCTTAAGACTAAAAAAAAAGTTACTGTCCCCTAGTAACATCTTAGTGTTAGTGAAATAATTGGAACAAAACAAAGAGTCTTTCAGATTACAGATATATCGATATTTTTTGTTTGTTTGTTTATTTTTATACTTTGTAATAGTATTTTATTAATTTGAAGATTTATCTTGCTATTTGAATTGTTCATTTGACTTTGGAAGATACGACCATTTTCGGGAAAAAAGAATACATATATTGAATTTTTCTCTTGGGTTAGGCTGTTTAAAATAAATTCTATGTTTAACGTCATCCGCACGCGTAGGTTAAGGAGAAATCCGTCTTTTCACCTTTTATTCAAAATGCGATCAATATCTGAAAATGAGTTTTTATACTATTAGCTTCTTAAAACACACATATTGTCTTATTTATTTATGTGCCAACTTATGTTTCTATTTTCCAAAATTTCGTATATCCGTTCCGGTTTGGTTCTACATTTAGCGACCCGTATTGACAGAAAAATGGGCTTTAATACTGCAGATGGTGTCTTATTGAAAGAAGACTAATGAATTAAACATGGGATCATAAATGTAAGTAGAAAATACATGATGTTATGAAAGAAGTTAATGCCAAACTCCAGTTTGTTGATTCTTTTGTCAGTCTTCGAATCACAGACTCTCAGTTCGTAATTATGTTGCATGAAATTTTCATCTAATTTTGGAGAGTATCCAAACTTTACAAAGTGTGTCAACAACCAAGATTTTATAATATACATTGAGATGCATCATTTAAATTTTAAAAATAACTTCATCTTAAAATATTTCTGTAAAATTTGAAAGGAACAGTAAGATAAATTTCTTCATAAATGTAGTATTCATATACAAATAGCTACATTTTTTGGGAAGGATAATACTAGTCATTTCCATTTGAGCAGAGAGAAGCTTACAGAAGATGGGGCCTTTCAAATGAAGGAGAGTAAGGAAAGTGATTGGGCTATTTTAAGAAGTGAAGAATCAATTGTCGTGTGTTTGGAATTCAAGGTAAGATAATCTAACAGCTACATGTACATGTAAGGTCCAAATATTAGTATCTGCACTTTCAAAACTAAGTGCTTGTAATCTAGTACTATAAGTAAAAGTACAGCATAATTAAATTTCAAGATATTTCAATATAAGAATGTACTGTATTAAATATTGTCATCATAAATTTTAATTGTAGATATTGTACAACTATTCCCACAAGAAGAAGCATTTCCCTACAGCCTAGTACAGGGTACCATATGGCAATATAAATCCAAAGGACAAATGAGGCCGAGTAAAAAGCCACTCTCCTGCAAATTTAGTCTAAATTGTTTGCTTACAAAAGGACTCACTCCATTTACATACTAAGGGAAAAATTCTGCTTGAGAAATTAGACTTAGCTGTCATATCCAATACTCTTATTACTCAATTATAGTGTTTGTAATGTACTGAATAGGTTAATTTGAATAAATTCACAATTGTTTAGAAATTTTGTTTGTTTATTTTTTTTCCTCCCTCCTTCGTAGGTTTTGAATTTGGATGTGACGTTAAACATAGAATTAACTTTGAACAGTCTTCAGTAGTGTAACTCATTGAAAAAATGCTTGTGTCCCATGGGTATACTTAATGCTAAAAATGTTTTGCCCCATGGTTTTCTGAAATAAAAAAAATCATTGTTCCATGCCTGTTTGTACCGGTCCCATCATTGTGATAAATTTTGCCTTGGTCCCTAAAGCACTTGCTTTTAGATCTTCATCCAAACAAACATAAGTACCCACTCATCCAAGGTTTATGATTTATCAAAATTATCCTGGATCATTTGAAAATTCGAATTCATATTTTGTCTTTAACTGCAAAGCGAAAGCTGCAATTTTGTTAATTTTCATCGCTCCTACGTCTTAGATTAAATGTATGCATATTTGTAAAATAATTGTTTTATTTACCAATGCAGACGATATCCTCCTGTCTCATTGATTTAATCCGTTTGTATTTTTCAAAATGCTTTTTCGAAATAAAATCACAAATAAAATGTGAATGAAAAATGTTTGACTTTGATACTTGAACTTACAGTATAGTTTTTCAACAGTTCTTTGGCTTCTGGTATTCCGGAAGCAACCACAACCTGTTTAGGTTTCCCGAGCCCGATCCTAATAGCACACTGTTCATTTGTAAAAGCTCCATTCAGATGCACTAAAGAAAGAATCAGTGTAAATATTGTATAAAAGTATATAATTTCAAGCACATTCTGTTTTGTCTTCATAAGGGAGAGACATATGATTTAGTTGCGTCTTTCGATTTTTCCTTATTAAGGCAAATGATTGATACCGTAAATCTGGAAATTTTTACGTCGATTCTATTTTGCGAATTCGGGTCAAAATGCTGTTGATTAATTTTTACGTTTCAAAATTTTGCGAATGACCACTGCTTTGTTTATATTTTCTTTTTGGTAATTTATTTTTAAGAAAAATATTTTTGCGAATGCAATGAACTCGCAAATTTGCTAAAAATTTATCTACAGCAAAAATTTCCAGATTTACGGTAATCAGTGCAATATAAAGATAAAAGCAGAACGCAGTCATTTTACTTAAAATTTGATTGAAACAATTACAAACTCGGTCTCAAAATACTTGAGACTTTTTGATGTCAAAAAGCTTCATGAAATTACAAAGATTAGCAAAGACAATTAGAATCAGAAGCCTAGAAGAAGAGAGCATGCCAATACTTAGGCGTTAGTTTTCCTGTATTTAAAAAGGGGAAGAAAGAAGAAAAGGAGGCAAAAGTATTTGATAATAAAAATGATTTTTTTTCCTAACTGCTTTCACAGTCATTAAGGTTCATTTGATAACCAAAAAGCCTCCGATTTCCTTCATGGTCTGCTAAAACCCATTGAAGAAGGATATGGAGATAACGAACAGTATTCAATCTCAAATTCCATGGAACAATACAAAATAGGTGTAGAGTAAACACGGATCTTCGAAACATCAGAAGTGGGATCAGGTGCCACGGAGAAGCGGGCATCTCCTGCTGATAGGTAAATCCTGCCGTGTGCTCCTTGTCATAATCGGGAAATAACGGAAAAATTCGGCGTGTGCAAAAAATGGACTAACAATTAATATGAAAAACGTCAGTCAGCATTTGTCTCAATGATAAATTGTATTTGCTGACAAGGTCATTGTATCGATCATAGAACTTACGAAATGATGACTTTAAACGAGAGTGCTGATATTCTTGTTTCATCAACTTGCTTGTCAAAAATTTACCTCGTTTTAGAAATTGTTCATAGGTTAGAGCATGCTCTTGCGAATCGAATAAATTGAGATACATATACTCCGTATGCAGTTGATAAAGGTATATTACTGCTAGGGATGGGGTAATGGTAATGTGTAATGGTAATTGACTGTAATTAATTACAAATTTCGATGTAATTGAAAGCAATGTGTAATTGGCCAAATTTTCTATCATTTCTAACATTGGTCTATCAAAAAAATCTTGATTCAGTACAATAGAATAGGCCTGGACATTTCATAGGAGGGATAAGGTGCCTAGGAGGGGTTAACACCCCCTGTCCTATAACACATTCAAGAAAAGCGTCCTACTGACCTATTACTGCGCTCTGTAAATTCCGTGGATGGAAATTTCTGGGGTTCCCCTTAAGAACGGAAAATGTGGAGGTGGTCGTCCGTATAGGATCAGTGAACTGTAACGCATTGACACGCTCCACTGAACTTACATATCCAGTACATGCATCAAACCACCGTTCCATTAAACCTGGCAAATGTAGTAAGACGTTTGAAAAGAAATATGTTTGACTGTTCTTAGGATTGTGATGTCGACAGATTTTTTTTTTAATATCTTGAATGTCTGATTGAAGAAAAATCAATCTGTTTAAATATTTTTTTGCCAGTACGAGTTCTGTGTGATTAATTTTGTTTCATTTTAAGCAACACTTTTTAAAAGATTTCTTTTCAAAGAGGAAAAAAAATAGTATGAATTAATTTTTTTCTGTGTTGACGTACATATAGTTCTAAGGGTAGTCGTAGAGGTTTTTGTATTACTTACTTCCAAATTTAATTCTTTAACTTCTTACCCTCGCCTGGAAAAAATCGACCCTCTATTGTTTCTACACATGCGCCGATAGGGGCTAAGGTCATAGCACATTTCTGATTGGCAATGTCACATACTGAAAAAAGAATTTAGTAGAAATTTTTATTACAAAAAAAAAAATTATGTGTCAAGGTACGCAGGAAGAGGTGCAAGATTTGAAGAGATACAAGTTTTGTGACGGATAACTTCATGTCAATAAATTTCAATCGGTACCCTTCACCAATAAAAAAAATTATGTGAATGAGAAACGTTTTTGTAAAATTAATCTCCAAAAATATGGTTATCAAATGTTGATGCTTAAGGTCTCTCATTTAATCAATCCTGGATTCTTCCCAAAAATAAACAAAGATTAAATACTCCCTTATATGTGTAAATTGTAATTATAATGCATGGATCACATTAGACTCTTAGTAGAATTCTTGGGATTGTTTTATGCCAAGGCAAATTACTTGTTCAAATAATATTTTTTATATTTATATAGCCTAAATATAAACAGATTTTGTCAGGATAAACATGAACTTTTTTTAAATTGTGTATGATATGAAAACCATTGACTTGCCTGCTTGCACTAGGTCAAGATCCGCGCCTTTTAATATCCCATCGCTGTCACTTTTTATAAAGGAAATAAAAATGAAATGAATTATAAGCCGTTATATATATTTAGAAATTTAATGTCAGGATTGCTGCATTTGATTTATTATGTAATTAGACAGATGTGCAATCTCTTTCATTAAAAGAGCCTAAGTAAGTTGAATGGTCTCTCTTAGGCAACCAACAGCAAAATAATTTAAGAGTGCAAAATAAAAAATGCAACATTTATTTGCAGGCTTGGCTACATATTCCAGCATATTTAAAAAAAAAACCCATTATAAATATATCAAAACAATCAAATTATTTTGAACGCCATATTGGTGATACAAAAAAAAATGATTACTTCTTATTTGTCTTAGAATATATACAAGTCTATGTTTACTTACATAAAATTCCACGGTCTTTTATTTCCACTTACTGCAAATACCCAAGTTTTCGCCTGCAACATTCATTAAGGTTTGCTGTTTATTGTTATTCTTTTACGATTTCATATACATATCATATACTTTTTAATACCAATGACATGTAAATGTAAGTATTGTAAAAAATATATTTATTGAGTGTAACTGTTTTTATGTCCAAAGTGTTCTGCCTGAAAAATATCATTTTCGCAACAATTTTTAAATCATTACTGATGGTAAATATTTCATCTTTTACAGGGCAACAAGCTATTAAACTGTATCCTCTAGAAATATTGGAAATGGGATTATATGCTTAAGTGGGATAAACAGGCCATGTTATGATTAGGCCTTCCACTTGAGTTCTACATGAAAAAAAAATACTTTTTTCATCTAGTAATGGGAAATTATATATATGATTTGAGAAACTCACAATCACATTAAAGATCTAAAATGACAGAATCAACGTTGTAGAATGAAACACATGGAAATAACGAACAATATTCAAGATCCAAAGTCCAAAAAACAAAATAAAATAGGAGCAGAGTAAACATGGACCTCCAAAATATCAGATGTGGGATCAGGTACCATGGAATAGTGAGTATTTCCTGTTTATTGTTATGCTATGTAAAAATGCCGACTTAAAATGAAATTTACTTACTTAGTTATACCAGCGTGTGCTCCTTGTCATGATTGGGAAATTACGGAAAAATCTGTTGTCAATTAAGTGTATAAATTATGGACTAAAAATTAGTATGTTAAACGTCAGTTACCATTTGACTCGATGATAAATTGCATTTGCTGACAAGGACATTGTATCAACCATAAAACTTACAAAATTCGAATTTAAAGGAGACTGCTGAAAGTCTTGTTTCATCAACTTGTTTGTCAATACTTTACCTCGTTCTAAATATTGATCAGGCAGACAGAAAAATATATTAAACATATAAAGGCAACTAACTTGCAATTAGCATGATACCTGACAGCTTACCACCAGCGATATGTGTTACATTCTAATAAGACCTTTATAAGGACAGTAGAGTCTAGAAAATGTCAGATCATACTCTCGGAAAAATGATATTTTAATTAATTTTACGTAAAATATGTGGAGATAACAAACAGTATTCAAGATCAAACGTCGATAAAACAATATAAAACAGGAGCAGAGCAAACACGGAACTCTAAAAACATCAGGGGTGGGGTCAGGTGCCAAGGAGGAGTGAGCATCCCCCTCCGACCTGTCACACTCGCCGTGTGCTCCTTGTCATGATCGGGAAATAACGGAACAATTCTTCGTTAATTTAGTGTATAAATAATGGACTAACAATTAGTATGAAAAACGTCAGTCAGCATTTGACTCATCGATAAATTGTATTTGCTGACAAATTTATTATACAGACTATAGAACTTACGAAATGATGACTTCAAAGGAGACTGCTATTATTCTTGTTTCATCAGAGAGACAGAAAAAAAACCGTGTTTAAAGACGTACAACACACTGGGGGAGATAACTCTTGCGATTTCAATTGAACGTTTGACGTGACGTCAAATTTAACGTCAAAAATAAAGCGTCAGAACGACGAGTAAAACGATCCCGATGTATATCAATCATGAAAGAAAATTGGGATATGGGGTTTGGCTGTGATTGTCCGTACCATATTCAATCAATAAGTATTTTTTTAATTAACCCGATTAAACTCCGTAAAAAGCAAGGCATAAAATATCATCCCTTAATGTTTATATCATTTCATTTCATAAACTATAAATTGTATTTTTTATCAAAGCGCAGCATTTTATTTTATTCTGAAAATTTATTTTAATTCTCATTATGTACAATTGGCAATATAACATTCCGATTAATGATCTTCATTACAATTTGTGCATACACGATATAAATGTATTGTTTTTCTTCTTTAATTAAAGCTATATATGCCGTATTAGTGTTTTATTTTAAAAGTAATAAATATATGTGGTGTCTCATCAAGTTATATAAGTTATATACTCTCTGCAAATAAGACAATTCCACTCCATCACCTTTAAAAGTAATGAAATATTATTTGGTAAAAATTATTTTCTCTCCGTGTCGGATAAAAAACCGCCTCTTATTGAAATATTCATGATCACGTTGTCTCGCATGTTTACAGCAAACAATGGTCCAATCTCGTGAATGAACCGAAAAGCATGACGGTCTACTACGTTTTTACTACAAACACGTGAGTTAGGGATAGTCAATATTGAGAGCACCTCAGAGTTGGTTGCTTTTTGTACCGAGGAATAATCACGTGCAAATGTCTTTTCAATGGACATTTTCGGTTGGGTGAACTTCTACAGATGTCAGCAACTATGGATAAAGAAGTGTGGAAACCATGTTGTGCCAAAATGAAATAACTAATACAAACAAATGATATAATTTGATCAATCAAAATGGTTATTAGATACAAGATTCGATTCTGCATTTCTTAATGCTTCAAAACAACAAAAAGTATTCCACAGAATATCATGTATACATCTGCACAATATACCGAATGCCAAAACCAGAATACTACTAAATAATATAATTATATTCTTTACATATGAACCACAGTATTTCTGACCCCTTGAAAATAATTTTAAAAATCTTGCAGGTAGGTTATCACATTGGCTCGGGCTAATTCGAAAGTGAAATTTGGAGTTTGGCAGTAAATTGTAGTGAATGAATAAAATTTAGTTGTGAAAGATATTGGAACCTATTTTACTTGTCAGATTTCTTCGAGCTAGTTGATTTTTATTCTAACTGTTCTATCTTCCCCCCACCCACTTTAAAAAGAACCGATGCTACCTACCTGAATTAATTTTTCTTAATGGTGTTCATCGAAATGCTTGGTTGTGCCCTCAAACTGGAATAGTTTTTAGAGGCCTGGAATTCCTTGACCAATTTTATTTTATTAACCCAACTATATTTCTTAGAAGGCAAGATCTATGGTATGTAAGTTTCATCTACATATGTTATGTGGTTCATATTAAAAAACCAAAAGGGATAATTGACGATATCCCATATTCAGGGTGTAAACATAGCAGTTTAAATTACTTTCCATACATAGTACTTGACATAAAATATTTTTTGCGCATAATGCGCTCCACACTGAAGATCCGTAAATGTTCACCCAACCGAAAATGTCCACTAGCAGTACTGCACCGTCTGCACGGGGAAACTCTAAATAAACGGACCTGTACAATGGATTTGGGAAAACTTTAATTTTCATCATTGATAATCATTTGTATGCAAATATGAGCATGGGATTAGTAGATAATAATGTACATAATGCATCAAGTCTTTCTGAGAGCGATTTAAAAAAACTAGCCTTTTTGAAAAACCCATGTAGTATTTTATGTAGTAACCCATAAATGCATTAAATGCAACTCATTGAGCTGATTGGTCTATTTGTGTCCCTCACTGAACAGAAGTCACAAAAAATAATTTCCTCGACCTGATGATTCTCGCGATGCTTTTCCCGCGCACATGCGCAGATCCAGGCTAAACGTCAGTCCTTTATAAATATGCATTAGAACATCGTGCTCTTTTCCTGACCAGTACTTTGTTAATACCGAATAAAATTTCGTCGAATTTGCAAGAATGCTTCATTTTTGGTAGCTTATCATACTCCAGAAATTTTTGTTCGGTTTCACCTGTGCAAAAATACTGTTTAACTCGGCATACATATCTTTAAATAAAACAACAATAAATAAACAAAAAACTTTTTTACAATGTAAAATCGATGTTGTTCTCAGACCCTTACTGATCAAAGAGGAACAACTCTGAAAATGTAGGAGATGTTTATTTTCCACCCTTTATTCACGGTTTTCCACAGAATCAGATACATTTATACAGCAAGACCTGATAAATCCGAGATTTGAATACTATAGACCTCATATACACAATGTATGAAAAGAATTGTTCACTTGTACTGAAATTATCTGCATTAATGAATATCCTATTGCAGCAAATCGTAACTTTGACTTTCTGTCAACAATGTCGACGTCGGTTCGCATTTCCTCGAATCAAAACAAAACGTAGCCCATAAGATTTTTTAAAAAAATATCAATGTACGATTTGATATAAATTGAAATAGATGAAGAGTTTAATGTTTGATATTTTGAAGTTAATGTGGACGAATACGGAATTTTCATTTTAACTTTGGAAGCGACGACATTGAAAGAAATGCCACTGGCACTGTACGTTCAATATCATGAGGGTGCATGTTCATCTATATAATGTAAATGTCGATGTATCCCCACGGCCACATACTATCTCGTTTGAAATAATGACATGAAAGAAACTACAATTATTCCATTTATATCTCAGGAGAGTTGAACATACACCATTTTTTAATGAATAAAATTAAAGAAATAAAATTAAAAATCAATATATTCAAGTTCAACAAAACTTGAATTCGTATCCAGGTTTCATGTGATATGGAATGCATAACGCATACGTATATGGACTAAACACTAAAATCTTTCAGTATTTTTTTCCTGATACATATAAAGAGTAGTCAATATTTATTCTGCATTCATGAATTTAAAAACTAATGCATACCTCCGGGATTCTTGACGAAATACCAGTATATTTGCACCGTAAATATCGTTTCGTCAAACGATAATTCATGGTCTGCGACGCAAAAAAGGAAGGGGTGGGGGTGATAGGGGTATTCAAAAATTGCCTTAAAATCAACATTTAAATACGCTTTACATATTATAACTTTTAAATTTGTAAGTTTATATATTTTTGAAGCAAAACCAATATTCCTATTTAATTATTTTTACTGTGTATTTGTAGATTCATATAACAAAGTGATCGACCCCGTCTGAAAGACGCGCGGGAACGTGATTTATTGAGAAAGGGGGAGGGGGTAATTTTCCGCTATTAAATCAAAACTGGTCGTTCAAAAATTATAAAAAAAAATTATGAAGATTACTTTTACTACCAGCTACCTAAAGAAAGTTTTTTACCAAAATTAAACGACAGATTTTTTCACAAAAAAATTTTGAATTTGAAAAATACGCAATTTTCATAATTTTTCAGTTTAAGGTCTTTTAAAATTGTTTTGATGATATGCATATCAAGAAGATGACTTTGTTTTTGTGTTAAATGGTTTAAGGAATAAGCCAATGAAATTTGACATTTATATCTAACCTGGTTTTTTTTTAAATCAAGGTTTAAGTAGTTCATTGATTAAAAATTTTCTCTCCTTGTAAACAACTAAAGGGGGGTAACTTTCGGAAGTTCCTGTCCAACAACCACTCGAACGATTTTGTCCAAAATATGCATACATGCAGTAGATATAGTCATGTACTATATATACAAAAAGAATGAAAATTAAACGACAGGAATTTTTGGGGGTAGGTGTGTTGTACATCCTTAAAGTAAACATAAAGGCAATTCCCTTGCAATAAGTATGAAACCCCACAACTTTCGTCCCAGCGATATGTGTTACATACTACATGTAATAAGACCTTTATATAACGACAGTAGAGTCTTGAAAATACCAGATAGTACTCTAGGAAAAATGATATAATATTTAATTTTCCGTAGAATGATATCATACGTTAACAAATAATGAACGCTTAATTTCATATGTTATCAAGATTTTCTCTTTTTAAAAATGTTTTTAATCATCGTCAGAGAAACTCGAATGTCAACGTTGCGACTTTCTGCCCCCCCCCCTTTTTTTTTTTTACAGAAGTAGATGGACGGTGTTGCCTATTTTTCTTCGACCTTTCATTTTTGCTATGCAATTGTAATCATACATAAATTTGACTACTTGGTACATTACTGTCAAAGGTAAAAAATGAAAGCATTTAAACATATTTAACCTAGGGATTGAAAATGTCAAATTAAAATACAGTTATATAAATGACATTATTTAAAATGCATATGATGCTAATGCAAACTTTTTACTTTTAGTCTAAATTTCATTTATTTTTCAAAATTTTTGTAAATATTACACATTCTAATAATTTCTATTGAACAGAAATAACTTTTGTTTATCTATTTTGCTGGACAAAATTAAAAAAAAAATTATTAATGACATTTAAAGATAACAAAGAATTATAGTTTTAAGGTAGAAACAAAATTTAAAGTTTAAACAAAATAAAACAGGAGGGTCTAAACATATCAAAAGTGGGATCAGATGCCAAAAAAAGTAAGCATCCCCTGCATACAAATCTTACCCACCGTATGCTCCTGGGTAAACGGAAAAAGTCACCAGAAATCTTAAAGTGTAAAACTCGCCTAGCTATTACAATTTAAAGAGTCAGTCAGCATTTGATCTATTGATAACATTTGCTGACAAGGTCTTTGTACATGTATTGCTCTTGATGACTTCAAACGTGACTGTCGATATTGTACATTCATCAAAGTTTTGATAAATAGTTTGTCCCTTTTCAAACACAGTTTGTTATTTTAAAAACAATACATACCTGAATACTGAGATTCAGTGAGGCCAGAACAGCGAATCCACAAAGTAAACAGATGCCCATCTTAAGACAAATATCAAAAGAAAGAATTTTGCAAAGATTCAGCTTCATCCACAAAATAGCATTGTAGAAATTATTCACCTTTTAAAGTTTTTAAAAAACTATGTTTACATGCATTCCCCAATTAATGCCGCTATATGCATTCTTATGTTTTGTGTTTTTTCACATGATTGTCAAAATTCTGTCAGAATTCTCGAGATTTCCTACTTACCATCACTCGGTCTTGTTTACCTGGAGACCAACAGAAAATGTAAGACACATGTGTTGTATTTAAACACATGACCTTTTAAGTGGCCTTTTTAATAATTAAAGTTTCGTCACAAGCTACAGTTCACTGCATTTTAAACGATTGTTTAATCATTTTGAGGAATCCAAAAAGAAAAAAAAATGATAACATATATCTTAACATTTCATATACAAAATGCTATAAAATTCATTTATATTTCGAATGTAACTTTAAAAAAAACAGTAAGTTTAATTCAGGATTAAAATTAAATGCTAATTCCTTTTTTTATTCTGTAAAGTTTAAACTAATCATATTAATATATTTACATTACATGTGTTTTTGCATCTTAAGTGAATGGAAAAATATTGCATTCAAAACACCGTAACAAGGGAAAAGGTGTCAAAAAGGTTAAAGCATAGGTTTTAGTTCGACGTCATAAACGTTGAACGGCAAGGAAGTGCAACGTTATAAGCGAAATTAAAAAAAACTTTTAAATTGACCTGAAGCTGTCGTGTTGCCTCTTGCATTAACTGTAGCTTACACGAAGTATACTACTGGGATTTTAAACATTTGCAGTCAACGCAAAGAGTTGAAAAATGTAAATATAAGTAATGAATCATAATTGTTTGAAAGATATAGTCTCATAACTGCAACGGTATGTGCAAACAAATTTTCATAACACGCGTTAGCACGTTATTTAATTTGTTTGTACACACCGTTGCAGTTATGAAACTATATCTTAAAAAAAATAATGATTCACTAATAAAATGACAAATTTAGAGGTTTAATTTCGTGTTTAAATATAATTTTGAGACATTCTTCATCATAATGACTTTCTTCGGGACTGAATAAAATCACAAAGCTCTTTGATGGAAAAATAACGAAAGATATCCATTGTCATTTCACTGTATTATCAAAAGGCTAATAATTAGTATGAAAAACGGCAGTCAGCATTTGACCTAAGGATAAAATTTATTTGCTGACAATTTCATTTTATCGACCAATAGAACTTAGAAAATGATGTTTTTTAAGACAACGCGCTGTATTCAGCCGATAAAATCATTCAAACAAAACAAATCAGTTGCGGAGAAAAACGTAGACGTCAAACAAATCAGAGGCGGGATCAGCTGTCACAGAGAAGTGAGCATCCTCTGCCGACCAGCCTCACCCACTATGTACTTCTTGAAATGATTGGAAAATACAGTAAAATCAAATATTTTCGAGGGGTCATATTTTCGTGGTTTGAGAAAACAATCTTTGTTCGTGGGGATTAAAATTCTTGGCGTAAGAATTATTTTGCAGTTTAGGGTTCGAAATTGTACCCTTCGTGGTGGCCATAAATTCCTAGGACTCTTCATACCCCGAAAACAACGAAAATTAAACCTCCAAGAGAATTAGTGATTTCACACTAACGGAAAATCCATCGACAATGGAATGTGAAAAAATGGTATAAAAATTAGTATGAAAATTGTCAGTTTGGTTTATAATTATGCATGATCATTTTTTAACACTGTTGACGGAAGTCGGACAATTTGACCTGACAAAAAAATTCTGTATTCCACGAAAACACGCTGTCCTCTTACAACAAATATAAATAATAAAACTATGCCCCCGATGGTAACACAATTCTGGAGTGGGACGTAAACTGAAGTAGTATAAACTTACCCTTGACAGCGCAATAGTTTTGAGCTAGGTTTAATTTGACAGACAAACAGACACACAAGGCAAAAAACAATATACTTCGGGGGCAGAAAAATGAAGATGACAAACACTGGTCGATCTGAAAAATCTTTAAAGAATACAAATCTGTGGAAAGAGCAAAAACAGGAACCGGTAAAATTCCAAAGATGGGATCAGGTATTTTAGAGGATTCAGCATTCCCTATTGACTGGCTACACCTGCCGTGAGGTCCACGCATGAATCTAGTAGAAAGGACATTCCGTAATCAAACGTCGTATTTACTATAGAACATGTTAAAAATACGAACCAATGATATATGTAGGTAACTTTACTAATAAGGCAATTATATTGACCATAAGAACTGTTCGTTATCTCCCTATATTTCATTGACGAAATTCCGACTTTTTAGTATGGTTGTTGAAAACGCTATAGCATCAACTTTCCAATTTTTGGGTAGACTGGATCGGTTTCAAAACTGATTGTACTCAGCGCTTGCCCTTATAATAAAGGAAATAAAATATGAATAACTTAATACTACCAACATTTTAGAAAAAAAAATTGTTCAATATCCTGTAGTTTTATTGTATTCTGAATTTGTAATATAAATAATACTCGAATGAATTTAATGCAAGCCTTCATTATAAAACGTCTGTTTGTGATAAAATGACCTCGGGTCAACCGCTCAACGGCGATGTTTATGATGAACAGAGGGGGTCTACTAATTAAGACGTGCCCATTTTCATATAAACTTACAATTCATGAATTATCAAGAAAATTTGCTGTCTTTCGTCATTTATAAGCCTCATTAAGTATTCCAATGAGCAAATAGTAACGCTTGAATAATGTCATACATGTATTAAACTTATCCACGACAGGCGTTGATATAGTGCACAGATATATAACAAATACCAATAAATTAATTTTGTTTGTAACGGTCATTTGATATAAAAAAAATCATCTAAATTGTATAATCTGGTTTGCCTACGTCACAATGACACGTTAAAAACGTATCAATCCGCTTGACGTCACGTTTGAAATATGAACAATTTGAAGGCGTTTTTAAGATCAAGATCTTGTAAATGATTTTAGAATAACTTTTCAGTGCTAAATCCATTATGACGT